TGTCTGGGTCTGGGTGTTCTTGTACATTCAGTGTACATTCTTAAGATGTCGGATGTAAGCTATCAAAACCTGCAGAGATTTATGTGCTGTGGCCCCCAAGCGACGTTTAACCGGCGTTTTGAGATTTCACAACGCCAGGATCAAGGCACGCGAGGACTTTCGCAGGCGAGGGCGCAGGTGAGAGCGCTGGAGGCTGATTGCCTAAAGACCAATGGTTGCCGAAGGGAAAAGAGTTTCACAAGTGAAATGGTGATGGACACTCCTGGTCTATCACTCTATAAACCAATCATGACCAATCCTTTGGAACTGCTGGAGGGACAATTAGCAGAACAGTTAGTATGCCGGCTCAATAAAGAGGCAGACGGAACATGGCAGACGGTTAGTGTTCCTGGTCATGAAGGGAAAATATGTTTTGTCAACCAAAACCCAAAACATACGGAAATTGGAAGAGTCGGACAGCTGGTGGTCAGGTGGCACGGCAAACGCAACCGATCTTTTTGTTGGCTGTTGAAGGGGAATAAACCTTGGCCACTAAAGTGCTTAGATCTTCAAAATAATCACAGCTGAAGATTGGTGCAGGGGCATCATTCTGTACTTGAGAGTTTGCACACACAGCCGTGTATTGACCTTCTGGGTGTACATTGCGGGGTTTCTGAGTCAGTTTTAGGGGGCCAAGATCGCAAATCATTGATGGCCAAGTCCAGCGATTTCCTACCCAAAACCATGAACATGAGATGGAATGAATGCAAACCAACCAAAAGTCGACTAAGAGGATATCATATCCTTTTAGAGACTCGCATTTTTTTTTACATTTCCCCCTCTTATCCTACCCAGTCAGTGAATAACATGTTGTTTTTTTTGTGGATTGGTTTCCCCATTGGATTCCAACTGGTGGACAGTTCGGTTGAGCGGAAGGGATTCTCTTTCCTGCTCAGAATGCAGAGACTGCTCGACTGGTGCTGTCATTGAGTTCTACCTTTTGCCGGGATGAAACTCACCAAATCACCAGCAGATCGCGACGACGTTCATTTATGTTTTTTGTTTTAAACCAACCACTGTGCAGGGTGTAACAAAGGTCTGAGTTAATTCATACAAGATCAAGGCAATTCACGAAATCCATGCTTGCCCAGTTAAAAGCTCGAACTCAATGAGGTCAGCCAGACACAGGTCATACTTGGTCTTAGTCCGAGTGGTTAGGGTACTTCAGCCATGTGGTCGTTCGCCAGTCTTCCGTTCTCCGTGCTCCGCGTCGCCGAGACGCGACGTGCTCCGTGCGACGCGACACATGCGACGCGCTCGTGAAACCGCCCGACCTCGTGGCCGGTCGAAAGCGTGGTGAAAGCTCCGTGGCAGGGAGAAGTTCCATTCAAGGCGGAATTTCTTGGACGCGATGCGGGAGAGGGAAGAGTGTCTGGGCGGAACGACTGACGGCGGGCGAGGGAGCTGGGAACAAAGCGACTCTGGGTGCTTGGTGGAGAAGGTGGACGTCTGGGGAGTTGGACAGGCGGACGATGAGGTGTATGGGGAGTCCCGTGGAGAGTGGATGACAACAGTTCGCTTGTTGAACAATTGGCCAACCAGGGAGTTGATACAGAAAAAAACATACCATTTTGGTGAGGAAAAAACCGGCCGGGAAGGGATCTGAAGATGAAAAGGAGAGTCGGCAGAAGGCCATTCTTGATCTTTGGTTCGTTTCCATGCTTCTGTGGCCTGTAGCGTCCAAAAAGTCTTCCACTCAATCTTCCCTGACATCAGATCAGATCATGACAGATGTGAATGGTACTGCTGGAGACACTCCCGACCCTCCCCAGTCTCAAGCAGAAATGAAACGTTCCAAGATCTGGTGAAAGCTTGAGGTCTAAACAACATAACAAGGGGTGAAAAGCTCCCCCAAATGAGTTTCCCATCCATAAATCCATTAAGTATATAGATAGTATGTATATGTGTTTGGACCTTGTGATATAGTATATACTATAGTATGTAGTATATATGATAGTATATATTAGTGTTATAGCTTTCATCCACCGGTCCACCGGCCCCCGCTGTTCCGAACGCTTTCTCGAACTCGGCGAACCCCTCCCGTCGCCGTTTGTTCCGTCCGGTCCAAGGCGATGGGTCCATAAGACTCAGGCGAGCGAAGGGTCGGGTGGACGAGGGACCCGAGGAATCCGAGGGACGAGTCGCGGGACCCGAGGGACGAGACGAGGGACGAAGGACGAGGGACGTTGGTGGTGTGTTCAACCCACCCCCAAAACGTGTGTTGGGCGGTGTTTTCTCACGCACGGACGACGACTTTTTAGGAGGAAGGTGCCTCTTACTGACCTGACCAGGCACCACCCAGCTTCGGATGTTTTGCATTGGAAAAGACCTGGTCAGGAGTCAGGAGGATCGAAGAAAGACAAGAACACCTGGGTCGCTGAGTGGTGCTGGAAGATGTTTTTCCTAGCTTTCTGGTGCTTTGTCGTGGACGGTTCGATGTAGCAGACAACTGAGACGACCGATTCAAAGTATGCAGTCAGTATAGTGGTCCTATTTTGGATGAGATGGGATTGTAGCACCATATCTGTGGCCCAGCAGCAGTATGTAGTACCATCTACAGGAGAGTGGATGTCACGCGTGCTCATGAACATTCTGACAGCTGAGAACCCTAAGGACATACGATTTACAAGTGCAATCAATCAACTGAGAGGGGCCCCGAAAAAATCCCAGTAGTCCATGAGGCGCCGAGTTGTTTTGGCTCAGGTGACTTGGGACATCTGTGGATGACTAGAGACATTGGTTGTCATCGATGTTTTGCAGCCAGTCTGCAAAAGATGCTTGCATCAGTGGCATCACCTGTTCATGGATAAGCAACCTCATTCAAGGGACACATTATATTGACCTTTATGATTTATGACACATGTATATACATATAAATACTTATTTATTTATGCGTATTCTAGGTTGTTTGATGGTGTTTGTGCAATCATCATCCATCACGAGTTTCTTTTTGCTTTGCTACTATGTGTGGTTTCAGTGTCCTACCAATCCTTTTCCTGCTACTCATCCTCATCATCATCATCATCATCCATGGGTAGCTTGTAGGCGCGTCGATCCATCAATCCGTCGATCCACGCTCTTCCACGTGCGTTGGTGGAACATCTGAGATGTTCCGCTGCCACTGCGGCGACAGGACAGCCCTTTCCATGAAGATCTTTGGTTCGAGGATGATAGGCGGCCTGCCCCGAGCGGGAGTTGGGGGGGAGCACGGGGAGCGCGAGCGTTGGGAGGTTCGGAAGAACACCGGGTCGTCCCTTCGGCTTGGAATTCAAGAGCAACGGTTGGAGGAGCAATTCCGTTGCCACCGGACTGTTGAATACTGCACGCTGGGTTGAATGCGGTGGCCCATGGTCATGAAGCACAAACAGTTTGTTGAGAAGCCCATGGATTTTGATCTATTGTGTATGAGAGGTTTGGTATGGTTTGGTCATTTCTAATTTGTAGGATTACAAGAATAGAAGATGTCAGGATGTTTTGTCATACAGAAAGTACCAATCTACAGGCAGTCCTTGTTGAACGTGCTCCACCGCCGGCCTTCCACCGCCGGCCTTCCACGACTGAACTGGTTTGTTCAGACCGTGAGCATCCAGGATTTTTCATCTCAACATTAGTCGAAATCGTGAGCTGCAAGTGAAGTTGGGAGCCTCAGAGGCTGGACCCGAGGCTGTTGTCCGAGGCTGTCGTTTGGGAGCGCGCGCCGAAACGACTTCTAAAAGCGACCTACCTCCGATCGTCGCGATGGCGATGGCGGATTTCCATGGTACATGTTCCTTTCAATGAGGGACATGTTAGTTTCTTTTTTTCAGAGTGATGGTATTTGTTGGAGTCCCGCTTTCCGCTTTCCAAGCTGTTCTTTTTTCCAAGCGTACAAACAGTGAATGCGGATGAAGGTGGTACTTCAACGGATGACTTCCATTTACTGCCTATGAAACATCAGACTGCCTGGAGCACTACCCTCTGAATACACACGTGGAGTTAATGCCCCTTATCACCCCTTATCATATTAGCTGGGAAAGCTTTATATATCTCGCAAAAAAACACAACACTTATATAATGTGTTTGCTTTGATGGATTTACTGTACTTGATATAAACCAATTCAATTGCTTCTTATATGACTGATGACGCAATGATGCATGGTACGTGTTGTGCTTTTGGACCGTGCCCCTGAAGCCAAGCCTTTCTGCTTGGCTGTCGTTCTTCAGTGTGGCTCAGACCCGACAATTGAAGCCTCCGGGGACGTGTGGAGCACCATGCCATCCAAGCGCCGCAACAACGGACGATCCAAGCCGCTCGGTGATGCTGGAACCAGCGCGACCACGTGGTGCTTTCTTTTTACGACCGGGCGGGGGTTGTTCGGCGACTTCACGACCTGTTGTTCCTCTCCGGGGTCTCTCGTCTCCATTTGTGGATGACATTGGATGACCACCTATGACCCTTGAGATTTGAATGGGACCGGAGAAGGGGAAGATTGAAAAAGAAAGCACGAAGCGAGAGACACCATTGCCACGCTTGGGGTGCGGAGTGCCACAAGAATAGCGGAGTGCCACCGAGTAGGAGGTATGTCAGGGAGGCCGTGTGTCAGGGCAAGGGGCAAGGGTTGATTAAGGTTTCTTGCCAGCAACAGAGAGCCGAAGCCTTTTGAATTTTGGGACGCATGCACCAGATTGAAACCAAAACCCAGATGCTCCAGGTGCTTCCTGGTCATGTTAAGCATATAGTTTAATATTATGGAGTGTTTGGGAAATACTTTGCAAATACAACACACCTTTTCTGGAAAACACCTTGCAATACAGTCCTTCTTCCTGCTCCCTCCTTTCCAGCGGTTGGATAGATGGCTTTGGGCTTGACGTTTCACCGCGCAAGAACACTCAGTCCTACAAATCAGACAGGTCCTACAAAGCGGCACCAATTGGAGGTGCTGAGAGACACATGCCGCTTCGCCTTGACTATAGATTCTTCTATGCCTAAGGCTTCCACCAAGGCCAATTCATTACACCCCAATCGAAGATGCCGTCACCATCACTCGTGGCACCTTGTTCGATGGCACATTGGCTGGCGGCACCACCCTTCGACCGCCAAGAACAGTGCGCACTCAGAGGACCTCCCACGCCACGCCACCGTCCCACCCGCCACGCCACCGTCCCGTTCCCGTTCGCCGCGCCTGGATCCCGCCACCCGTCGGCCGCCGAGGCACGGCCGTGGTCACACGGCCATCGTGCGCTGCTCCAATTGCTGCCGCTGCGTTCCCAAGGACCGAAGTCGCGACCGCCGACCGCTTTTCGGAGAGCTCGAAGTCAAAGGGTTTGGGCATCCCTTTTGCGCGTTTTTTCAAGGCGAGACGTGCAATGTCCAAAAAGTTAACACATGGTAATTCATGATGTAACATGCACTGTCTTGGGAGGAAACACCGATTATAGACACCTGGTTGTTCCTAAATACAGACCGAAGGTTCCGAAGGTTGCGTATATGAACAGCGCCAAGTCCGTGGACCACGCGTTGGGCAATTTCCGGGTCAGGGTGTGGAAGGATGAATGTTGAAGTTGAGACTGCAATATACCAGGAGTCACAAAGGGGTGGTGTTTGATCCCCAAGTGAGTGGATAATGGGCACCCCTAACCTCCATTAAGCACCCCTTTGTGACTGCAATATACCTGGATCTTTCTTTGGATGTCTTAATCACTGCTCCGATTGAAGGTAACGTGTTCAGTTGCGGCCGGTGCATGTACTACTTATACAGTAACTTCCAGTATCAAGAAACATGGCTGAGGCTCAGGCTCAAAACTAAAAGACAAGGGAAGAGGGATTTGCTGATATGCTCTTTTAATTGCCCGCAGGTTTGGGGATACCCTACATGTTAGAGACATAAGTTTACAATAAATATCTGCACAGAGGTTGACAAAACCCTAATAGTTTACTCTCTGGGGACACAGAAGGTCATGTTTGAGGATCAACTTACTTTCTTCATATTAATACATGTTTGTGTTTGTTTGCCGCTGCCAGGGTTCAGCCTGCCTCTGGGATACCTCACCCCTGGATCTAGCTGACCTAGTTGGATTTGGATCTACTTATGTTGAATCTAATGTTCATGTTCCTACTAGTAGCGAGAAGCTTCTCGGTGGAGGCCATCGCTGCGAGGGTGGAGGCCATCGCTACTGGGCCATTGCTATTAGGGTGGAGGCCATCGCTACGAGGGTGGAGGCCA